AAGTTGACTTTATCAAATACACAAAGATTTTTTTGCATATGTTTCCTTTGTTTAAAACCAGTTTCATAATTGGTTGTATATGTAGACTTGGAGTTTTATCTTTTTACTTGTTGCCATGGAACTGAAACCATCAGAGGTTTTGTCTTGGCTTGGAGTTTCTGTTGTTTGTTTTTGGGGGTCTTGGGGTTTGTTTGTTTTTTTATAAAAGAACAACAAAATGGAAAAAAAAAAACCAAGCGTTTACAACTTAGTTTCAATTGATAATGAAATGTGAAGTATGTCCTAGTTTACATCTGAGAGAGGAGAGTGTACCTGTGTTTGTCTCATGTGCCTGAATACTAAGCCACTTTGCGCAAAAGCTGTTTCTTACAGGTGAAGTGCTTTCTTTGAAAGGTGGTTATTTAGGTTTTAGATATTTGACAGACATGGCACATTTGCTCTATAAACTCAGAGGCTCACTACAGAAATCTATAACCAGTGCTGTGTATCCGTCTGCAGCTGGTGTACTTCTTGGACACCAGGAGGGGAAAAGCGCTTTTTCTTGTGTTTAGTTAGACCTCTATGGTGTCAGTAATTTTTGCAAAACATGTGCACAACCCTGAATTATAGTTAGTCTTGGCAGGTAAGTTTCTAAGGGTATTTTGATCAGTTTATAATGAATTCACACTCTATGCCTATACATGTTAGATGATTTAAAATTTTAAATCTGTTACATTGAAAAACATTGAAGTTCATCTTGAAAGAAAGCATTAAGTTGTGCATGGAGGTGATTTTTATATATATATATAAATTTTTTTTTTTTTTTTTTTTTTTTTTTTTTGAGTGGAGTCTCACTCTGTCGCCCAGACTGGAGTGCAATGGCCGCTCCCGGCCACCGCAGCCTCGACCTGCTGGGCTCCGGCGATCCTTCTGCCTCAGCCTTCCAAGCAGCTGGAACTATAGGCGCACGCTACCACGCCCGGCTATTTTTGATTTATTGTAGAGATGAGGTCTTGCCAAGTTGCCCAGGCGGGTCTTGAACCCGCGGGCCCAGGCAATCCACTCACCTCAACCTCCCAAAGGCATGGGATTACAGGCTGAGCCACCGAGCCCGACTGGGGTGATTTATTTTTAAACATAACACCTAACATAGGGAAAGGATATGAACTGCATCAGAAGCATAGTTGTGAAAAGTTAGATTGCCTGCATATGCAAATGTTTTAGTATTCATTATTTCCTCGTTATCAGATGTGGCTTTTTTTTTTTTATTCTAAGTTTTGGGGTTGCAATTCCCAACCAGAAATTTAATACTTCCTAAAAGATTTTTTGAAATTTTGCTTGTGCTTTTGAATTACAGAACTTAAGAACCAAGAAAATGCCACTAAAAAGACCATTACAAATCTCAAACACTTCAGTTTGATGACCTTATCTTTCTTATATAACTCTAGAATAAACATTTGGAGGCAGGCTATGAGGCTTAGACAGTAGGAAGTGACAGACATGGAACACTATTTCACTTGCATTATTGTTACAGGGTGGTTGCCATTGTAGTAGAGCTTCTACTTCTGTTTGTAAGTTGAGAGTAACTCTCAGAGGATAGTTTTTCCTTTTAATCTGCTATGAATCAGTACCCAGATGTTTAATTACTGTACTTACTAAATCATGAGGGCAAAAAAGTATAGAATGGAAAAAAATCTCTTGTATCTAAATACTTTAAATACAGGAGCCCCTTGTAACTTAATTGCCTTAGTCAACCACTGGATCTCAATTTTCATCAAGTATTTTAAATAATTTTGAATTTTAAAAAATGTATTGCAGTAGTATGTCAGTACCTTATTGTTAAACGGAATCTTCAGTTCCTGGTTTGGGCTATTGAATCATCATGGACTATATAATGCAATCAGATTATTTTGTTTCTAGACATCCTTGGATTACACCAAAGAACATGAAAGTTAGTTTTGGTTAAATTATTTATTTATTTCATGCATTCATTTTATTTCCCTTGTTAAAGTCTGGATGAGATTTCTTTGGGGAGCCTCTAAAAACTCTTCACTGTGGGCCAAGTGGGGCATTAGAAGCCAGAGCACTCCTCCTCCAGACTCTCTCCCAGTGCCTAGAGGTGCTATAGGAACTGTAGATCCAGCCAGGAACTTAATGGCAATGCAGAGCCAACCCAGAATACCATTAGGCAGGTCCTTATTACATTAAAAACAAAAAAAGCCTATGTATTTATTTTAGAATCATGTCTTTCTGTATATTAACTTGAAGGATATCACTTAATATTTAGGATACAAGATTTGAGGTTTGAGTCAGCCATCTTCCAAAAAAGAAAAACCAAAAAAATCCTGACTTAAGAAAATAAAGTACAAGTAAACTACACATCTTTTTTTCATAAGTTTTAGAAACTGTAGTAATGTGGCTTAGAAAGTATAATGGCCTAAATGTTTTTAAAACATATAAGTTCCTGTGGAGAAGAATTCTGTTTATACAGTGGGGGAAAACCTATAGGTTTAAAATAGCAAGTTTGTCAGCCAACTGTTTTAAAAGGCCTTTAATTGTTTTCTTTTTTAGCCCACCCTTCTATTCCTATGAGGAAAAGTTGAGGGAGGACATTTATTTGTGTAAAATCCCCAAATTGGTGTTGACTTTCAGCTTGAACATTTTCAGACCTGATTAAAACTTGGTTTATTCTAATTTCTGTATCATAACATCATCTGAGGTTTAAGTGGTAACTAGTCTTATAACATGTATGTATCATATGTTTGTCCATCTAAAGCTTTTTAATCCAAATAAAAATGGAGTTTGCAAAGTGATTTGGATTAACCAGGTTTGGGTGTTCTGTTAAAAGTTGTGTTAGATGTTAGTTTCAAGCAGATTTAACTCCTACAGACCCTGATTTCATGCTGACAAGGATGTGACTGCCAATTTAAGAGAAGGATCCTCAGATGGAGATGAAAGTCATTGTCCAGACCTCTGGTTCAGGGCTCAAGCTTCATTAACAGAGCCAAATGTAGTCAGACTATACCCTGAAGTGTCCCACACACTTCTCAGGCTGACAGTTAAGGAACTCCTAACATGTCCTCAGCACGGGCAGAAATGCAGGTCGAACTTAAAACTGAAGAGAATGTTACTGAGGGCAGAAAGTGAGGAAACCATGTCCTCTATTACAAAAGCAGTATATAACCCACTTCAAATAGCTTGTCTGTGGCTAGAAGAAATGGTTGACCCAGGTGTGTCTTTAACATGTTTATAAGCTCTTAAAACGTCACCGTGCATTCCCATGTTGGTAAAATCAACCAGTTATTTTCCTCTAATGTCACTTTGCAAATCCCTGTGTTTTTGCCCTCCTGAATTTGGGACTGTACTGCCTGCCACCTGTGCTCATGAGGTTTTTTTTTTTGAGTCGCAGTCTCAGTCTCTGTCACCCAGGCTGGAGTGTACGCTCACAGCCACCACAGCCTCGACCTGCTGGACAGGTGATCCTTCCACCTCAGCCTTCCAAGTAGCTAAATTTCTGATTTATTGTAGGGACAAGGTCTCGCCATGTTGTTCAGGCTGGTCTCAAACCCCTGAGTTCAGGCAATGCTCTTGTCTCCCACAGTGCTGGGATTACAGGCATCAGCCACCATGCCTGGCTTCATGAGCATATTTTGAATGATCATTGATGTATAGTTAAAACATCCCAGCCGAACACCATAAGCAAACAAATACTGTTATTTTGTTTGATTTTTTAGATTGGAAGTATGCTAGGTCAGCTAAATGAAAGCAGAGCTAACTAGGCTGGGTATGGTAGCTCACCTCTGTGATCCCAGCACTTTGGGAGGACCAGGTAAGAGGATTGTCTGAGCCCACAGTTTCAAGACCAGCCTAGGCAACTTGGCAAGACCTTATCTCTACAATAAAGCAAGAAAAATTAGCTGGACATGGTGGTGCATGCCTGTAGTTCCAGCTACTTGAAGACTGAGGCAAAAGGATTCACTGAGCCCAGCAGATTGAGGCTGTGGTGGCGTCATGAGTACGCTGCTGCACTCTAGCCTGGGAGACAGAGTGAGACTCCAACTCAAAAAAAAAAAAAGAGTTACCTCAGTGAAAAATTCAGGCATACACACAAAAAGAAAGAGATTATTTCATCAAGGATTTAGGCAAAAATTCCAGAAGAGAACAAAAACAAGCCTCATCTATTATTGACTGTATGCCTGACTTAGGTACTTTCCCTACCAAATGATAAATGACGTCCCAAAGCTTATGTTCTTCCCCCAACACCACATTGGAGGTAGAGTTCTAGCAATAAATGCTAATTAGATTTTCATTACTCTGGAATAAGTTCTATAGTTTTTTTAATTTATTAAAAATTTTTGCCTTATAGATTACACCAGGGGATGCTGCCATTCTGTAATTGGCATATAAAAACTGTAGTTCTGCCAGGTGCAGTGGCTCACACCTGTAATCCCAGCAGTTTGGGAGGCGGAGGTGAGAGGATTGCCAGAGCCTAGGGGTTCAAGACCAGCCTGGGCAATATGGTGAGACTTGCCCTCTTGAGCCCAAGGATTCGAGACCAGCCTGGGCAACAGAGTGAGACTTTGACTTAAAAAAAAAAAAAAGCATTGTAATTATTTTAAGTTCCCTTAAGTAGTTCCAGTGTTTGATAAGTAGGGTAGACTCGTATTCCTAGTAGGAGAGTTAAGAAGTATTTTTGAAGAAAAGTTAAAAGCATGCTCCATGGTTAACAAAGATGCATTCTTATAGCAGCCAACTTAGTGTGCTCTGAAAGTGTGTCTTCCATTGAATACAGTAATTGCTTTGCTAGTCTACTTGCCTAAAAGTCAGAAGTTGTCCTGTCATTTTCCAAAGCTTGTTGTCCTTTAACAAATCAACACTCTAATGGAAAGGAAAAAAAGAAATGGAGAGGAAAAACCTAGGAAAAGCTAATACAAAATTCAGGCTAATGGTTCTCTCTGGGGAAGATGCAGGAGGATGGGCCAGAGAATTATTCCATAGCAGACACAGAAGCTGACTGATGGTTTTATTAGTGTTTATTATTATTTGTAAAATATGTGTGTTACAATTCTCTATGTGTATCTAATATTAAACTTCTAAAACTGGGGGTGGGCAAGGGGGATATGGAATATAGCTATGTAATTGAATCATATCACAGTTTTCTTATACAGCAGCCTTATCGTATATCTATAAGATTAGGTTCACCGGATCCTAGATGACACAACTGGGCATGAGAATACAGTGAATCACGGTCCTCTCCCTCGCATTGGTTATTATTGGCCTTCACATTCAAGCCTTCTCCCAGACATGACTCTGGGCTTGCTGTGGATAGTGCTTTAATATCTGAGTAGTTAGTGGTTCTTTACTGAATTTGGTTCTAACATAAGTGGACTAACTTAAATTAGAAAAAACGCTCTAGAAAGTTTCAGGAGACTATGTGGCAGAGATCATTAACAAGGATACTCGGTGTATATGGATACTCAGTGCCTATACCTTGTGTAGATTCACTTACGGAAGGAGCAGTTGCCGTGGTCTTTACCAGCTGGATGAAAGAGCAACATCTCCATCACAGAATGGTGTGAAGCCTGTTGCCCACAGTCCTCATGGAGGTCCTGGTATGTTAGAGGAGCCAGGCAAGGGAGGGGCTTATTTTTGTTCCCAAGAGCACTAGCATAAGTAATGTGTTTTGTCAGGAATTCCCATCATCCTAGAAAAAAGTTTTTAAAACGGTAGCTGGTAGAAATGTAATCTGTATCATTATCCTGGTTTAAATGAGCTTGCAATGGAGAATGTACCCATGGTTTAAGTTGAATTCTGCAAAAAAGCAAATAAGGTTATCATTAGTTGCCTAAAAACAAAGGACTTCACAAACAATTCAGACTGTACTGAAAAGCTTTATTTATCCTGATTGTTCCTTGAATTGTTTAAGAAATATTTCATGTGACTAGATTCATTGGGTGTTTTAGGAGGAAATAATTTTCCCACAAGTGCTATCCAGCAATTAGTTGAGAAGGATTCAAGCAGAGGTTGCAAAACTATAAAAATTTTCTGTAAAGGCAATTATTGGAATACTGTGCAACTGCTAAAGAACAAGCTATATAAGAACAAGGGAGCGAGGCTCGGTGGCTCAGTCTATAACCCCGCGCCTTGGGAGGCTGAAGTGAGTGAATTGCCTGAGCCTGCAGGTTTGAGACCTGCCTGGGAAACTTGGTGAGATCTAATCTCTACAATAAATCAAAAAAATTAGCTGGGTGTGGTAGCGCACGCCTGTAATTCGAGCTACTTGGAAGGCTGAGGCGGAAGATCGCAGGAGCCCAGCAGGTCAAGACTGCAGTGGCCGGGAGCAGCCACTGCACTCCAGTCTGGGTGACAGAGTGAGACTCCAACTCAAAAAAAATTAAAAAATAAAAAATAAATAAGAACACGGGATCTGAAAAGTACATTTTTAAAGGCACTGAAACCAGTAGGGAAATTTATATTCACTTTATTGATAGCTGAAGTTCAGTCTCATTTTTCTTCCAGCCTTCTCTGATATTGTCTTTCTGAGGCTTTTCTACGGTAGACATCATCTGTGTCAAACAAAAGGTTTGAATAGGTTAAGAAACAGGCATTTAAAATACTCATATCTGAATCACTTGCAGTGCTCCTCTGAGAGAATTTGGTTCAGATCACCACTTCTACCACCTTCTAGCCTTCCTGTCCTTGGGCCTCACCAGTTTCTTCCCCAGGCCCTTAGCCCTGTCTTCCCACCTCCCCCCACCCCAGCCACCACTCCTGCTAAACCAGCTGAAAGTCCTTCACACTCCTATCAATATCTTAACTTCTTGACACACCTTCAAAGCCCCAACCACACATTAACCCAACTTCCTCATACCTCACCCTGCTTGCTGTGAACTGAGAAGCTAACTGATGCCTCGAATTGGGTCTACTGAGATGCCTATGATTGAGACCCTTCAGCCACCCTCAAATGGCCACAAACTCTTGCTTCTCAAAGAAAAGTCACCAGTAAAGAACTCTTCCAGGCTGGGCGTGGTAGCTCAAGCCTATAACCCCAGCATTTTGGGAGGCCGAGGCAAGAGGATTTCCTGAGCCCACGGGTTCAAGACCAGCTGGGACAACTAGCCGAGACCTCATCTCTACAATAAATAAAAAATTAGCCAGGTGTGGTAGCATACACCTGTAGTTCCAGCTACTTGGAAGGCTAAGGTGGAAGGATTGCCTGAGCCCAGCAGGTCGAGGCTGCGGTGGCCATGAGCATGACACTGCACTCCAGCCTGGGTGACAGTGAGACTCCAACTCAAAAAAAAAAAAAAAAAACTCTCCCAGCTAACTCCCAAGCTATTCCTGCCACCCCAGCTCTGATCCCATCCTCTCAACAAGTTGGGGGTGGGGCTTACCGCCCCTTCACAGATCAAACTTCTTTAACCTCTTGTCTACTGTGATAACAAATCTTGCTGGTTTCCTTTCTTGTCTCTGGCCATTCTCAGTCACCCTTAAAATGCTTGAGTTGGGGGGGTACAAAACATCAGTAAGAATAACTGATCCCAAATCAGGTGACGTGGAACCAGAGGGGGACCCAAATTTCACCTGTACAATGACCACTTACGTACCTAATCCAGAATTGTACCCCACGTCTTTAAAATAAAATTTTTTTTAAAAAAAGATATGTTGGGACTTGTCTGTCATCACAATTTGTGAATGGTCCACAAATTCTGACTTCTGGCCCAGATCTGCCTCCTGAGCTTCAGATCTGTATAACCATCTCCACCTTAGCACATCCCAAATGAAGCCCAGGATGGCCCTGCCTGTGTTCTGCACCTTCAAGAACACCCCTGCCCCAGCTGTCCCACCAGAAACCTCTACTCCTTACCTCCTGAGCCCACTCAGTTACCAAGCCCTGTCAGTACCACCTCTGGGGTGTCTCTCAACTCCACCCACTTTGTGGCATCCCTTCTGTCCCCAACACAGACCAGCCACCATCTCATATCTGGACAGCCATACAGCCTAAGTGTTTCCGCCAATCTCCTCTGCACAAGGAGCCTTTCTCCACACATGTCAAATCCTCTGCTTAAAACCCCTCACTCCTTGGGATCCGTTCTTGGTTCTCCAGTCCCTTTGTGGCCCTGCCCAGTTACCCTCCTAGCCACCCCCACCCCCGGCCAACCCCCACCATCTGTTTCAATCTCTCTCAAACACAGCATACTCTCACACAAGTACTCTTACCACTGCCATGAACACTTTCAACTCCACAAACCTTACCCTCATCTGGCTGACACCACTCAATCTTCAGATCCTACCAGTTACTGGTAACTGCTTCTAGAAGCCTTCCCCGCACCATCTAGTCCAGGGGGGCACCTACCTAAGACTTCTATGCTCCTCCCATTTCCCTCTCACCGCGCTGATCTCGCTTAATGGTAACTCTTTATGATCTTTCCCATTAGAGCTCTCGAATGAGGAACCCTCTGTCTTGTTCATTATAGTCTCTCAAGGGTGCTCACTAAATAATAAATAGAGGAGCAGAAGGACTAAATATCTTTAGAAATCACTAATGTAACAATTTGTTTAGACGTGGGTTGGCAATTCACAAGTGATACAGTGTTAAGGAGAGGGGCAAAGCTTTCAGAAAGGGCCTAGGAGTTGGGAAAGTTTTCCTGAAAGAAACTGGCCTGCCCAGAGTTAGTGCTCAGCAAAGCAATGTTAAACATATTTTTTTAATTTTTATTTTATTTTTTTTTATTGCTCGTCAATTACAGAACACAGAGTCAGCTGCCGGGGACATTCCTTTTTTTAAAGTAGGATTTATTTAGAAGACGGAAAAGCTCCCACAGTGGGAGGGGACCTGAGGGGGTTGCCCAGCATTCTTTTCAGTGCTGAACATCTGACGTCAGGCCAACGACCTAGTGCCAATAACTACCCTGTAAAGACAGTGGTAGTTTGCCAAGCCTGGCAGAGCAGCCCCCTCCAGGGTTTGGACTGGAGTGAGCAGGAGTTTCCAATGAATCCTCACGATCCACCTTACTCTATGGTTGCCGTAAGCAAATCTGTTCCTTAGGCCCAAACAATGTCACCAGAAGGGGTGAAGGGCAGGCTTGAGAGGACTGGAGCTACGTGTCCTCTCCTCAAAGTGTAGGAAGGAGAGCGGGGCCGGTCTCCACTGCCAAGCGAATGGAACTGCACTTGTCCAAAGGTAAAAGCAGCTCAGCGCTCTGAGTAGGAGCGCTCTGCAAACTAAGAATGCCACCCAGAAAAACGGATCTCTGCCGTCTCGTGCTTTCCTAAAAGGATATGGAGGCTGCTACACCCTCACTTACAGAAGGTCTCCTGGCCCACGCGCATTTTAATCATGATCCACTCCATCGTTCCTCCCAGGACAAAAAAGAAGGGCAGGAACCTGTAGATGCCGAATCTCTGCTTCCCGGGCACCCGCTGCAGAACCCGCCTCACCTGGGCCCTGGAGAACATACTCCACCGAGCTCGTGGAGACGGGTACGGCGAAACCAGGAGCGACTGGAGTACCCGGATGCAGCAAGACTGCCCCGCCTGTCCCCGCCGTGTACAGCGGCCTGGGCGATAAGCGACAGGCTCCCTGCGCCACCGTGTGGCGCATGCACAAGCGCGGGAGCTGAGCGCCGACCTAGGACGCGAGCTGGGGGCGGATTCGCCAATCAGGGCGCAGCGGGGAGGGTGGATCCGCCCGAGTAACGTGTAGTGCGCATGCTCCATGAGGCTGAGCCGGACAAGAGGGAGCTGGCGCAGGCGCTACGGGCGGGAGGCGGGGCGG